ATTTGTGATTTTCATGAATTTCCTTCGGTGAAATCTTCCAAAATTTTTACATCACATCGCTTCCAGTGGGATACGAATTTTAAACACGAAAAAAAGTAGAGTTTTGTAAAGGCAGGTTTTTCGATATTTTTAAATTCATGTCTTTTACCGCTGCAAAAAATCTGGTCGTATAGATTTCCATGAAAAACGAGCTCCGACTAAAGTAAAATATTTGCTACCAATCTGCCAAATTTTGCGGAATTTCACCGAAGCAAACGCGAGGAAATTCACTGTCAGATTTGCTTTTTGTGCTCATGTTGACGTAATAAAATATCGAAAAACACTGACGTTTTCCTTTGAGCGCGCGCAGATTACCTCCTCAGCGCTCGTGCGATCGTAAAACTATAGGGAGCCACCTTAAAGAACGAGAAGTAGACAGTGTTTTCGACTTCTCGTTGGGGGCTAAGCGGTTAGGGACTAATCGACTCGGGGGCTAAACGACCGGACACAAGCACCGACCGGAGAATTTAATACCTGGGAGACGGGGGGGTGGGGAAACCCGGCGATAGATTTCTGTCTCAGTTCTTATCCAGGATGGTGTAGAAATAGTCTTGTTCGCTTTATGCAACGAAAAAACAGGTTAAAGGCTTTAATTCGGGTTCTTAGATCTGTTGATTTCTCGTTTTACAGCCCGTGGAGTGTGTGGTCAAACACAAAGATGGAGGCCAAGACGAGATCCAACTGAATCACACCATGAACGAATCACAGATTGAGTGGTTTAGAGCTGGCTCAGCACTCAACAGAATGGCCGAAGTAGCTGCAAAGTAGCCTTTCCCCGAGGACTAGAGAACTTCCCTCAAATTACAAATTGGTCCCTTTTTACCGTGTCTTTTCAGCTTGATAATTATTACTCAGTACGGCAACGGAGACAGAACAAACATGAGCAGCTAAGTCTTTCGTGGAAATTTTTCTTTGACGCCTAGTATTCTAGTTTTGAGTCAAGAATTTGGCTTGCTTTTCCCGAAGATGTATTTAATAATGGACAGTTTTATAGCTCCCAAGTAGTTTGTTTCAATTCAACGTTACAAGAACAAACTTATTGAACATTGTTTAGCTAAGGGAAATTCATTTCTGCCATGTTCTCGTTTGATTCCCAAAACCACTGTTGGAGAAGGAAAATTGTAAAGTAAAATTGAAGTCTTCTTCAGCGTTATTAAAAGAAACGAACTTTGTTGGTAACTGTGGTTTTTCGAACAAGTTTTTCTTGTGCAACATTATGGGAGCCAGAGACCGGGGGAGAAGGGGGGGCGGACGGCAGAGTATTTCTTGTGTAAGCCCTTGTGCGGGACAAATAGTATGGTGTTGATCCATTTTGGTCTGAAGTAGGCTGAGGACAGAGTCAGGCCATTTGGTCAAAAATGAATGTGGTTTCTGCAGATGTGTTCTAATCTGGAATTGGGGATGGTTTCCAAAAGAAACTTCCATAAAACCCGCAAAAAAGAAACTGTGGACTGAAAAACTCCCGCCTGAAATTTGACTAATTAAACGCCAAATAGTGATTTTGTATTGGTCTCCATGTCTGTCCACAGACGTTTACTTTACTGCTTCCAGTTCTTTTCGTGCGCGTGTGCGATTTTTGTTTCCTTGGGGCCACCTTGTCGTCTTCAGGCTTTTTATAAGTCCCCTGCGGTTAATACTTTTGCTAATTGCGATATCTCGACTCCCTTTAGACAAAATCGTTTTTTGATGCTTAATGTGATTATAAGACTCGTGAACAATCCACAAATTGAAACAAATTTTAAGTTGTCTCGATACAGCTTTTTTCTGGACCATACCAAGCATTTTTCAATCAGCGTTTTAGCAGTATTCCCTTAATCGGATTGGTATGAGAACAAACCTCACCCTGAAAGTGAAGAATGATCATCACAGTAAATTTTCCAATTTAAGCAATTGGAAAGAACAAGCCTGAAAATAATCAGGGTTTCAACGGGATTCGAACCCGTGACCTGCGCGATAGCGGTGCGATGCGCTACCAACTGAGCTATGCAGCCGTGAGGTCACGGGTTCGAATCCCGTTGAAGCCCTGATTTTTTTCAGGCTTGTTCTTTCCAATTGCTTAAATCGGAAAATTTACTGCGATGATCATTCTTCACTTTCATCTACAACCGCAGTTCAAATATGAATTATTTCGTATACACTTTACATCATTTCACTCCTCACGGGAAGATATCAACTCAATTAACTGACCTCGCTCCCAATGTGTGGCTTCATAGCTCAGTTGGTAGAGCATCGCAA